CAGTTTTTCAAGAACTCTAAAAAATAACAAAACTCCTTTTTCTTAATCAGGCATGATTGTAGCCCGCAAATTTCTGATTACAATGAGACGTCTCCCAGCTCTACGCGACCTTTCTTTGTAAAGTAATAGAATTTAAAAAAAGAAGCCCTAAATGTTTCTTGTTGTCAGCTCAAAGCTACAGAAATAAGAAATTAATTTAGGAATTTTCTTGTAAATTCTATAATTTTGCAAAGAAAGGTCGCGTAGAGCTGTGAGATGCCTCATTTTATCAGAAATTTGCGGGCTACAGTCATGCCTGATTAAGAAAAAGGAGTTTTGTTATTTTTTAGAGTTCTTGAAAAACTGTTTTTCCAGAAAACCGAGTCTTCAAGAGACACGGGCACGAATCCTTTTAAGATATTTGCTACCTCACTGAGGTCTATCGATCCATGTACAACTCATTGGAATCGGAAGGTTACATCTCGAAAGATTCCCTCGTAAGTTCCTACTTGATAATGTTACTTTCATTCATAACAAACGTTTGCACGATCGATAATCTATATTTTCAAACGCAATCCTAGTCAAACTAAATACCATTTGGTAGCAATAACGGATAACACACAAAGAGTTGTGGATGAGAATCTAGAGAGTTAGATCACTTATTGTAATCAAAAATTTCTTTTTATCTTCATACATCAGTATTTGCTACCTCACTGAGGTCTATCGATCCATGTACAACTCACTGGAATCGGAAGGTTACCATCTCGAAAAGTCCCCTCGTTAGTATTAGAGAAATAACTGATTTTTCATTGAGTATATGTAAAATAGAATGAAGTTAGTGGAAGATTAGATGTCCCACCCTATTTTGCATGTTATTTACAACAGCATCGTTAGAGATGTACCAGCCTATTTTCCATCTTTTTCAAATTTTGGCCTTAAATCTGTGAAGTCTGACAGAATAAAATAATGTTTTACTTCGTGGAGATGCAGAGCGCATGCTTCTTTACAAGATAAGTGAGCTGTGTACAGTTGTTTACAAATATTTCTTGTAATTTCCTATTCATTAAATAGCTAACTCTTCGTATACAATGACGTTATTAACACAATTATCAAACTGGAATAAAAGATCGTGCAGAGTTCTGCGATCTCTCGTTTTATAAAAAATGTTTTTTTCTAGATTTCTGCACATTCTAAAATGTTCTAGTCAATCTTTCGAACTTTGTGTCTCTTCCCGAAAGCCAAAAAATCCGAGCCTAGACTCGTAGTATCGCTCAGCATGGTAGAAGTCATTGAAATCTTAAAAGAAATGGAGTAGTGTTTCAATCGGTTTTCTTACAAAATTTATACACATACGTTTTATTGTTTTCTTCATCAATCGTCGTTCGCTTTGAATCAATTTAATTTTATTCTTCAAATTTTGGCCTATTTACTTACTTTCACTCTACTGTACACCTACTCAATGGAAAACTACTCATTTCTCCAAAATACGTTTCTACTTGGTAGTTCTACTTTTATTCGTAACAACCGATTGATGATGACTTATATTTTCAGATGCAATCCTGGGACTTCAATAAAATTGCTGCCATTTAGTAACGATGATAGATGGAGATCTCGGAGCGTTTATTCAAGAAATGTTCTTGACTATGCTTCTTTGAAATGGATAATATTGATTTATATAATAAACGACGTTTTAAATCGTTTTTATCAGCATTATACAATACAATCACTACGGAACGTATGTCGCATGAATTTTACTTACTGATAGTATAATATATTCAATGGTGTGTTAGAACTATTATAAAAAAGAAAATGAATGTATTTATCAGCTGTTAAAGAATGTATTTTCTGTAGAAGACAACTTACATCGTTGCAATACCCAGTTCATTTCGTTGATGATTACAAGTAAATAATGTATCATAGCCTGTATATGTATTTTTATTTTGGGGAAAATATTGTTGTCGATATTCTTGACTAAAATAGGAAACTTCATCATTTTATCTTTTAAAATATTCTTTATGTTATTTCTACTTACTTGTATTCATAACTATTGAACCCTGTTCCAGTCCAACTACATAATGATCCTGATCGTTCGCGAGGATTTTCATCAAAATAATTATTTCTATCGATAATATCTTGATCAATATAATAATTATTATTATCCGTATTGTTAATATTGTTATTTACTACATTATCACTTTTGCTGTATGATCTTGTTAATTGATCAGAGGGCCACCCACCATTGAATATGTCATAAAATGTATCAGCAATTTTTCCACACCATCCAGATGTCATTTTGTTAGTTTCTCCTTCTTTTTGTCATTGGAAAAAAATAGTTTAAAAATTGGGAAATAAAGGCTAAAACAAGAGAAAATGTCGGCTGTCATAGTTGTTAAGAAAAGGATAACAATTGAATATAGAAAATAATTTGTTTATTATCTTAAAATTCAACGTTCTATAACGTTGAGATGTACGCCTCAGATCAGAAATTATATCATTGGCAATATTTTCATTGAAAAAAATCACAAAAAGAGACATTTTGTTGAATAAAACAGTCTCAAAAGTGATGGTATCATCCGTGTATCAAAAATTCAACGGTTACGGTTCACTGTAATTGCAGAACCGTAGAACTATAAAATTGTTACGCTTAGTAACTAAAACTAAACAAAGATGTTGAAAAAAATTTATACATAAAATCTTGTTTAACAGTTTTACAGTTAACCACCTCGTGGATACCTAATCAAAAATACTACTAAAAAAAACTTTTTATCTTTTTTGTTTTCTCACTTGAAAACGGTGCAAAATGGTCATAAACAACAATTGAATAAATAGGTAAAATTATATTTTATAGCACTATCAATGATATTAATATTACGATGTAATTTGGATATTTTCTGCCATTTTTTTAAATCGATTATAATTTGAAAAGAAATATCAACTGTTATTGTTGACAAGTTCGAGCTATTAATTTTGAATATTTTCTTACAATATAAAAATTTCTGTATATTAAAATCTCTAACTAGGTGACTCTGTGTAACTTTCCAACAGATTAAGATTAAGTTTAGACATTAAAATTGAATATATGTCACAGTGATCTCATGTAATAACTTCAATATTAAACAAGTTAGACAAGCTCGATGAATGAGGACTTTATTTTATTATTATAAAAGCTATCACTCTCAATCTGTACGTCTCAAAGTCAACGAGTTCTCACAAACAAAAATACATGATATTCTAGACTGTTTATGCAATTGATCAATTATACGCCTCCATATAACAAGAGCGAAAAATAGAAATAAAAAATTTTGTCTCTATGTTTTCCCTTCTGTGCAGAAGGACATGGGTGAATAGTGAAGGTTGAACACAATAGTTGTCAATAAATTTATTTTCGATAAAACTATTTTTTTTTCTCCGCTATTATTTATGCGGACACTTTATTAAAAAAAGAAAACGAGAAAAAAGAAACAAGGTCGATTTAAGTGATCAGTTTACTCACTTACATTTCTTTTCTTTATTTACTATTCACATTAAAATTCTCAATTCTAACTGACCTGTTATTTATTTCAACTTATTTTTAGTGTTAAATATGATCAATTACTAAAAAAACTTCTATAAGATTGGTGTATATGTGTGTATAAGAAGAAAATGGGGAATAACATACACACACATACATACAATTGTTCTTTTTTTGAACGATAGATCTTTTTTTATGTACATGATCTAAGAGTCGCTATTTAAGCTGCTTTTGTCTTTCTTGTTCGATTTTTCGTTGTTCTCTTTATAACAATCTCGTCCGGCTCTCATTAATCTTTCTACGGTCATTAACGAACGAGAAAAAGTGTACAAATTTCCTTTTTTGTTCTTCTTGGTATGTGTACTTAATGTGCATATCACTGGACATATGTTCTTTGAGCTTCCGATCTTAAATACGCATTCCGAAGAGAACACAACAGCAAAACAGAACGTTTCTTTTTGTTGTTTTGAATGCATATATATACATGCAAAATATTTATTTCCGATAGATCATTTTGAAGATGTACACCTACAGCGCACTGATACAAGGATAAAATGCCATTAGCAATAGATTAATAGTAGTAGTAGTAGTAGTAGTAGTAGTAGTAGTAGTAGTAGTAAAAATAGGAGATAAGAGAAAAAAGAGAATGAAAAATCGAGAAAGTCATTTGCACAGTTTCTAGTTACTATAAACTTCAGATCGAAACACTTATTAAATGTCTTCTCGTTATAACGTTCGTTTACTATGAATGTAGCAGTTAACGGATGAAAGTAAATTTTTGGTAAAAAATAACTGCAAATCCATGGATCATATTCACAGAGGATCTCTCGAGTCAACTCATTAATCTGACAGTTTGTAGTACTAGTCATGCTGAGACGACTGTTAAAAAGAGTTCAAAAATGTCTTGAAATCATGATGACTCAGAAATTAAGGATTTTTCTCTTTGCTAATAAACTGATGGATGTAAAAAAACAATTTTTTCTTAAGAATTTATGTATATATAATATTACTTAACATTCTCTACTAACTGGTATTATCAAAAAGTAGTTCAAAATTGAACTTTTAGATTTTCAAAGATCCCTATAGACGACTCGAATATTGCCAATGCTAAACTCAAAAACTGTATTAATGTTATTTGGTAGAGCTCGTCTCGTTTTACAAGATAAGATATATATGGTTAGTCATTAAAATTCAGAAGACAGTTTCTAGAAACGAAAGAAAACATTTTCTTTTTATCCTAAGCGAGATGTCATCACTTAGTGATTGATGTTCAAGACTTGATGAAAACGCCATACAATCGAAAACGATGAGAGGAGTCGAACATCCAAAGTACTCTTTTCCAATCATTCAACTACATAATAATTTTTTAAAAATTCGTTTCACAGTTGAAAGTAGAATTTTGAAGCGAACTCATTCAAGCTTGGATCGATCGTTAAAAAATTTTAGGATATATACAGTAATATCTTTTACAAGCTAGTAAAATTCGAAGATACTTTTAGGATGATCTCTTCTCACGTTAAATAAATCCTAAACATTTTATGTGGCAATTGTAAATACTGCATTTTATTCAGCATGCAAAAGACTCTAAAGCTATGTACCACCAATTAAGTGGTAGACAGGTAGGCGTGAAGAACACTGAAATGACGAAACTGTTTGACCTTGTCAAATCAAGCAAGGCTCTTCCTTTTTTTGATTCTTTAATCTCAATATAGTCACACACAGCTTGAAACTATCAATACATAACCTTATTCTAACATATTTTTTCAATCTACATTTTTTTCTGAGAACTTTTGATAGTCATTTAAGACTGTAGAAAAAATGAAAGACAAACTGATCAGTGGGACGTCTAAACATCTAATGGAATAATCTCTTAACAAAAAATTGAATACCTCTTTCATAATGGTTTGTATACTCTTAACAATCTTTGCCAGTTACAGATTTGTTTGCGAAATGTAAAAATATAAAGCATGTTGAATACTGAAAATAGAACTGATGAAGTGTGAGGAGAAATGAACCATGTCAAAGAAAAAACATCCCCAAAACTATTCTCACGCACATCTGCACAGTTTAACCATCTATTTAAAATAGAAATCTATTATGAATTTACTTCCTTGTTGAAATCGATAAATACTTGCTGTGCACCTTCATCTAATGATCCTGTCTATTATTTGTTAAACTGAGTATGAATGAATGAATATATATTCTAAAGTAATCGATCCGATGCCATACACAAAAGTAGTTTAAAAATTTTTTTTTTTTTTTTGCATTGATAAAACGTATATATACACATACATAAGAGAAAAAAGTCGTTACACATTATGTTACAATATTTTCTCACTCGTACATAGATTTATAAATAGTAGAAATTGAAATTTAATCTTAGTACAAGTATAATATTATTATTCTAAGCTGTTTAAGTTAGAATAAATAGATGTGGAACTATAAGAATGAAGAAAAATATAAAATTATTTTTTCCAATCTCTCTTATGCATAGTTGATTATTAAAAAAATGTTTGTATATAGACAAACAAGTAAAATATCAAGAAATTGAACATCTCCAAAATATATTTCTCATAAGATAGGATCGAGTTTAATGTCCTTACTAATATTTGATCTTCCACTTAACTGATAACTAAACGATTTTCAGAACTGACGACGAGAATAATGACGCATTAAAAGCTTAAGAACACTAAATCTTACCGTTTTACCTCTAGTCATTTATATATTACATAAGACTGAACAGATGACATATTTCATTCGACATACATTCTTCATATAGAGACATCCAAGTTTAGTCGGAGGAACAAAAAAAAGTAAGAAGAAGAATATTATGGCACCTGATGGACAATATACACGCGTTCAGTACAATTTGAGAGAAAGAGAGAGAGAGAAATAGAACAAAATCACATGAAAAAAAAATCGGTGTATCATGTGATTTCTGTTCGTAGTACAGGCTCAATCACGGTAGCGTTTATAAAGTCTTTTTTCTTTTTCTATTTTATTGGGGTATCAATATTTTTGATTATCAAAATTATTCCTTGTAAAATGATCACCACAAATGGCACTTTTGATCAGGAAATCTATAATTAATGGGATGAATGAAAAGGAAAAGTAAAACAGAAAATTTGATCAATTTGCTCAATCGAAAAGTATTAAAAAATGATCAAAAAATTCTCTTTTGATCTATTGTGATCAAAATTGTTTTTCCCACACACATAGAATCATGGACTTTCCCTAGGGCGACCTTCATCTTATCTTTTATCTAACGCTTGTCCCATTAAAAAAACGTCGATTGACGGGCATTATGTAGCTAACCTTCGTAGGTGTGCATACTTGTCGAAAGATGCCAATTTTTAGGTAACAGTGCTAGATAAGTCTGTTGAATCGTAAATTCTATATGACAGCTCTGTCCATACTTGCCAGATGATTCTTCAGCTTGCCTTATAATGATATAAGAAAAATGTCTTGTAATGAAAAAATCTATGATTGTATGCTGAGAAAACAGTTTTGATCAAAAGAGAGTTTTTTTATCCGAGTTTAACGCTTTTCGATTGAGCAAATCACTCTGATCAAGTTTTCTGTTTTACTTTTCCTTTTCATTCATCGGATTAATGATAAATTTGCTGATCAAAAGTCTCATTTGTGGTGATCATTTCATAAAGAATAATTTTTGTGATCAAAACACATTTTCGTATGTAGTTGTAAAACGAATCTAAATTTTATCTTTACTCTTAGTATTCAATCTATAAATAAATCAGTTCTCTAATATAAAACGTAACTA